GTGTCACTGAAGTCCAGGCTTTGTTGATCCATCCAGTGACTTCAGGAAAGTTTCATGGTGCATCCTCCCAATTGTCAAAAGTTTCTTGCTCACTCCAAACTTTCTTTCTGTTGCTTGATTACTGTTTTCAGCTGCAGATTTCATGACTTGGAGCTTGTAATCTGCAAAATGTGATTTTCTTTTTGGGGGCATTTGTGTTCAGTCTTCTCAGTCGTCTTTATAAATTTGTTTAAATGTTACATTTTCAGTGTTACAGAAGTAATGGTGCGATCGACTGACATGATACAGACAGAACAGAGGCTCTTTCTGCAGGAGACATGCGCAGTAGAGTGAAGTGACAGTGGTACAGGAGGAACAGGAGCAGCAGATACTGACACACAAGACTAGAGCCTCTCACCGCTGTCAGTGTGAACTAGGGATGGGCATTCGATGAAATTTTCTTAATCGATCGTCGGAAGAATTAACGATCGATTATCGATTAATCATAATCATTAAACGTGTTTATATTAAAATGATCATCATTATTATTACTATCTGCACTACTAATCTGCATAAATAAATTCAACTTTACGACATATAAACCGTAACGACTCTCGAGCCACATCAATCTGTTTGACATTATAATGTGTTTAATTCAGTTTTGCACAACTCTCACAGAAACAAAACTTAAAACCGCATCGCTAATTTGCAGAAACTAAGCAAAGATAAAACTACAGCTCTTGTGTCGCTGATGCGGTTCAACTTCTGTTGGATTAAAAGACATGATTCAGTGGAATACAGGTTAGTGTGACCATATTTGCGTTTGTTAAAACCAGGAAACCGTACGGGAGGTGGAAGGTGGGTTCTCGTCATCGACATTGCGCGACTCTCACCTGGTAAAACTTTTTCCTACTGGACACCGAAACATATGTGCTGCTTTGTTCACTGTGCACATGGACTCACACTTGTCCCGAACGCAACGGAAAGCGTGGAATTTCTTGTACAACTCATCGTTAAATACGCATTTGCGTTGCAGACTGACCGACTGTTTGTGTCTCGCTCCTTCTGAGTGCAGAGAGCTACATGTACGGACCCCTGTTTGGTCACGCTACGCACAGCAACCTACATTCGGTTTGTCGATTAAAATGAACGTAATCGATGAAATTCTTAATGATCAATTATCGATTAATCGATTAATCATGCCCATCCCTAGTGTGAACATTTTAATATATACGTTTTTCTGTTTAAGTGAAAAACTCATCTTAAATACACAGAATTTGTGTGTTGAACATGCGCCAAATAAACAAAATAAAAGTCCGGGTCTGTTTGTGATGAGGAAACAGGATTATAAGATAGATCAGAAAATGAGCCTTTTAATACCGAGCCTTTTCAAATCATTTCTTGTGCCTCTTCAATTAAGCGTCTGTAGGTTAATAGCGTCGTAAATGTGGCGCTGTGGTCGGGTTAGTCATCTTGTTTCTTTGTGTGGACATGTTTGGAGGAGGGAGGGGAGCTGCCTGAACCCTGAGTCACACAGGAGCGGTTAGCACTTAGCAGTTAGCGGTGCTGAGCGAGCATAGCCCTGTAAAGAATAATGAGTCTTTCTGAAGTAGTGCCAAACGCAGACTCCTCCTCATGTTTAATCTGAGTGGGAGAGCTTTCCAGTCATTAGTTCAAAATCCTAATCCTTTATTACACAAAAATGACTCTTGTTCTTGCTTTTAAGGTGAATTGTGTAACTTTCACGGCGGAGGGTCAAATCAAACGCTTTTCTCCACTGAGATGTTATTTCTTTGCCTGGAATGTTTCGCAGTACGGCGTTAAACCTTTCGATCTTCACGGAGACCAAACTAGACTAGAAGTTACAGGTCAGATCTGTGGAGAGGTGATCCCACTCACAGTCAGAATGCCTGTTTTTCTAAGTATTTCTGAGCTCTAAAACCACTTGTAATTGAATAAATGTAAGGTAAAGCTGTTTAATGTCATACTGTGGAACATTCCAAGCAGAACAATGAAATATCCATAGAAACAAGCAGGTGATGGACTCTAAACCAGAAAGTTCAATAGTGCACCTTTAAGCCACAGAATGTCGTCTTATCAAAAAACACACTTGGAGTTTAGTTTCATTCCCACATGTTTGAGTAATCCTTTATTATTCGTCTACAGCTCCAAAGCTCTAAATGTGTGTAGTAGTGTTTGTTTTCAAGTAACCGCAGCCTTTTCAACCTTTTGTTCAGTAGACATGATCAGAATAATTCTAGTGAAGGTGTATGAAGCGTAAGTAAGTTTTTATTTATATAGCGCTTTTCATAGACGTTTGTCACAAAGACGCTTCACAGAGCATTATTCACTCACTCCATACCCTGTGATGTTGAGATACTGTTGTAGCCACAGCTGCCCTGGGGCAGACTGACCGAAAATGCGGCTGCCAGTCTGCACCATCTGCCCCTCCGACCACCACACACCACTTTCATACTAGGCATTGTGGGTGTGGGTGAAGTGCCTTGCCTAAGGACACAACCACAGTTTTGCGATTGGTGCCCCCCTGTGGCACCTGATTTTCCCAGCAGTCTCCCATCCAAGTACTAACCACGTACTAACCTCTGAGCTTCTGAGATGTGACGGGATCAGGCTTTGACCAGATGAAACACTTCTGTAATCTCCAAAGCAAGAAAAATGATCTGACAAAGGCTTTTTGCCAAAACATTTTTTAAAAATTTTAAAAAAGCTTTTGGACGAGTGTGGTATGCATTTATTCACTTTTTCATTGCTTTTTAAATGCTCTTTGCATTTGCACCTCTACAAGAACTTTGATGTGCGATTTCTGTTTTGTTTTGCACTTCTGTATTACCACATGACGTCACAAGGTGGAACAGAGTGTTTTCAAATTATGCAGGGTTGTTGTGTAAATGAAACAAAACAAATGTATGTTAGCAATAAGGAAACATTATAGTAGAAAGTAGCGCAATATGTGCCTTTTCAAAGAAGTGCTTCATCAGTCTGGTTAATACTTTGAAACTTTCTCAGTAAGGCTTTAACATCTCCATGGAGACAAGAAGGCATTTACCTGAAAAGTTACACAACGCACCTTGAAGATTACTGAATCTTTCAGACATCATAATTATTTTCTTCTTATTGTAGATCCTATTTGTTTGCCAAGTTTTTGGTAAAATAATTGTTTATTTTTCTTCATTAGAGTTTGTGGGTGGTGGAAACAGAGTTGGCATAATTGTTATTATCTGTGAATCTAAATAGCTCATAATAAAATAATATCTTTAAGGTTGTTTGAGGGTGTATTTTAATTTGCATAAGGAAGAGCAGGGTCATTCTCTCGTGTCAAGTTCATTATTCCAGTTGATAATAAAAGTGTTCTAATTTGTCTCATTACTCTTTTCTATCTGTTCTTAGCTTGACATTACAGCCTCTATGTTCCCTTTGTGTTAAATTTTAGACTTACGTATGCCCGGACCTTTCTGTGTGAAGTTTGCATGTTCTCCCTGTGTCTGGGTGGGTTTCCTTTAGGCTCTCCTGTTTCCCCCCTCAACCCAAAACATGAATAGGTCACATGCTCCAGCTAAACTAGTGCTGACCAAGACCGGCAACAAGATCATGGAGATGCGTCAAATGCAGAGGACAAATTTCCCTATGGTGATGTGACATTATGAGTTGTCAAATCTATCGAAATATAAGATGCTAATCGAAACAAATACTCAAGTATAAGAGCACACAGACTAGTTCACCCTATGGATCACAATGGAACATGCCTTGATGACTGAGGGATTACACAGATATAAGTCCACATGATAATATCAAAGAGAATACTACAAACACATGTATTTTTTTTTCACCTTGTTTTCTTGGCTCTTTCCCAACAATTGTGATCTAAAAATTGCCTCAGGTGCCTCCACGTTTGTTTATTTGCTAATGGACTTTGAGCACCCTCTGGTGGTCATTTAACAGAACACAGCCTTGACATTAGAAAAGTTTGGATTTTGTTGTTGTTGTTGTTATATAATTATAATGAACTTATACAGTATAGTTGACCAGCACAGTGAGGCAAATGCTGGTCAGTTACAGGTTCAAATAACATGAGGAACACACACAAAACATGTGCATGTCATAAATATTATGCAAGGGGTTAATACTTTGTAAATTTAACAAAGAAAGAAAAAAGAAAACCCACAGCACTTACTTACACACCAACTACTGACGACTGGAACACACGGATCTGTGTACATATGAAAGTGGAGCATAAGGTAGCCTAAAACAGAGGCCAAAATTAAAAACTGGGACTAAGTCATGGGCCAAACGAAATATTTATTGAAAATTTTCAACAACATTGGCATGTTTTCTCTTCTTTCGAGACATTTCATGTTAAACCTTTTCTTATTAAAATAAATGTTTAATAATAGTTTTTGCTTAAACACTGAATCCAGAACAAGCAGAATATAAAATAATAACAACATTTTAAATAAATGTCTCTATAGCCGGTGGACCAGATCTAATGCATATTTGATATGATTTGTGGGCCAAATATAATTATATCCCGGGACAAATTTTGGCCCAGGCCTGAGTGTCTGACATGTCTGGCCCAAAAGATCCTTACACTGTTTTCTGATCTACATTATAATGTAGATCGTCAAAAACAAACCTGGAGTTGTTTTGTTCCATTCACACATGTTTAACACACAAACCCTCCATATTTAGGCTGAGTTCTACTTTCAAATGGAAAACACCATGTGGTAATACAGGAAATGCTCTACTGTGTTTTTCACCTCTACACACCTATGCCAGAATCATTTGGATCATTTTAGCCCTGGAATGCCAATCTCTAGAACTAGAAAAAGGTAAAAGGTAAAAGGTAGCTGCTACCTTGCAAACTACCCCTTCATAACATCATATGGTGAAACGGAACATTTCAAGAGTCAGTTTTGCAGAATATGGGACCTTTAATAGATTGTTACATTACAGTTATTAATGTTTTACCTTTCTAAATTCCTTCTCTCCTTGTCTCTGTTCAGAGCTGTCTTGGGCCCCCTCTTGGAGCTGCCTGCCCCGGCACAGCCCCTCCTTCTGCTGGTGGACGGTCTGGACCATGGAGTGCCTCCTGGAGGTCATGGAGCTCAGAGCACCTCCATCGCAGAGCTCCTGGCGTCTCACCTGCACCTGCTCCCTGGCTGGCTGCTGCTCGTCTGTTCCATACGCCGACAAAACAAGGCCCTTTGCAAAATGTTCTCAGGTACAAAAAAATAAATAGGCCTATGAATATGAAAAACTCACAAAGCACAAGACAACTGGATTTAAATATGCACATTTAACAGAACTCAAATTATATTATGTAATTTTACCGGTGAGGGGTCCATTTGTCAGTTTGTCTTAAAAAATCTTAAACTGTGAGCAGTGTCATCTCTCCACAGATCTCAGCTGTAACTTGGACTGGTAGCATCTCTGTCCTGTGGTGTACTGATAGTGTTGTTTCATTCATAAATGTTTAACACAGACTGTTAATATTTAGGCTGAGTTATCTCTTAAACAGAAACACTCTGTTCCACCTTGTGATGTCATACGGTAATACAGGAAGTGCTCCATTGTGTAACCTTCATACACCTTTACAATAATCAGTTGGATAATTTCACCCCTGGAAATGTACGATCTCTCCTAAACAAAAGGTTAAGCTTTTGAAAACCTATTGAAAATCGCTTCATGACATCACAAGGTTGGACAGAGCATTTTGAACTTTTGAGACATAAGCTCTGTTCGTACAGGATTAGTATTACCTGTGGACCTTTGGTGATTTGTAATAATCGCGGAGGATGCCTGATATCTTATCCTGTGCAAATGTGCCATGTCTGTAATTTGTAAAGTAAAAATTCTGCTGCAAATGACCTACTATATTTCACCAAACACAGACGTCTGGTGATAATACTAGTACCATGCGAATCTGCATCTCAGTGTTTGTTGTTTTCTCCTTCAATCTCTGTGTCAATGTCAATAAAATAGAGTAATTTACAGACTTTGCGTATCCCATGCGAGTGCTGCAAGTAACACAGAGGTGGAGCAGTAATTTGCAAATTACCAGGCCTCCCCAGGTTGTACTTGTCCTGTGCGAATAGGGTTATAGACAGACTAATAATAAAGTGTTACTTAAACATGTGTGAATGAAACAAAACAAGTATGTTTTTGAGGAGATTCCAACATTGTAACATGGCTTAAAGCTCACAAGAGTCAAATGTTCGTCATAAGAGGACCTTTAACTTGTCCTTCATTCATCTTTCATATTTAAGTTTTGGTTGTATCTTAAGTTGACCTCTTTTCTTGGTATTTTCCAGGTTTCCGCCGCTTATGCCTGGATGACCTCAGAAAGCCCTCTCCGGTTCATGACGTCCAGCAGTACATCCTTTGTCGTTTGGACCAGGACTCCGCGCTACGACGCCAGCTCAGCCCTGACACGGCGGACATGCTGAATCTCCTCCACATCAAGAGCTCGGGCTGCTTCCTGTTCCTCCAACGTGTTCTGGACGGGGTCGCCATGTCTGTCATCAGTCTACGGGAAATTCGAGATATTCCAGGGACTCTTAACGGACTGTATCTGTGGCTATGTCAGAGGCTATTCCCGCGTGGACTTTTCACCTACATCAAACCTATACTAAACGTCCTTTTAGCCGCTTTGAAACCACTAACCCCTCAGGAAATCTTCACAGCGGTATGGACGCAAGACACTTCACTTAGTTTTCAAGATTTTCAGAACAAACTTCGGACTTTGTCTTCTCTTCTCATCGACGGACCAAATGGCACCAAGCTGCTCTTTCATGCCAGCTTCGCCGAGTGGCTTTTGGATGTGAAATATTGCACTCAGAAATACTTGTGTAGTCGCAAAGAGGGACATACGATGCTAGCTATGGCTTTAACTTTGCAAGGAGCGCGTTTGAGTAGCGAAGATGTTTGCGGAATGGCTACGCATTTAGCCAACTCAGGTCAACATAAGGATAACCCGTCGTTGCTAGCACTTTGGATGCTTTATGCAGACGTACCGAGACTTAATGCATGTACTAGTCTGTATGCTTCAAATTTTGTCAGTGAAGATATAAAACATTTGCTAAACATAAGTGGACTTTTACAATCCGATAGTCATTTAGGCATGGAAAATTTGCAAGAAGAAATCACCAAGATTAAAAGAGCTTTTGAACGAGAATTGTCACTGAAGAAACTGCTCGACAGCGGTGTAGCAGTGAACCAGCGTAACTCTACCGATGGAAGAACACTGCTTGCAAACGCCGCTACCGAAGGCTCTGAAAACATCGTCGATTTTTTGCTAAATCACGGCGCGGACCCTCTTTTAACCGACCAACAAGGCCAAACTCCGCTAACTCTAGCCTCCAGACAGGGACATGTTAAAGTTATCAAGGTTTTGCTAGATTGGGCTAAGAAACAAGAGAAAGGGCTCGTGACTAGAATGATGGAGCAAGTGGACGTTGAAGGCTGGACCGCGTTGAGATCTGCAGCGTGGGGCGGTCACGCTGAAGTGGTCAGGTTGCTGTTGGACGCAGGAGCGGACGTCGACGGTTGCGACGTCGAAGGTAAAACTGCTTTGCGAGCTGCCGCGTGGGGGGGGCATGAAGAGATCGTCAGGATACTACTTGAATACGGTGCTAGTTTTGATAATGCCGACTGCAACGGGAGAACGCCGCTTATAGCCGCCGCGTACATGGGACATCAGGAGACCGTTGAGATACTTTTAGACCATGGCGCGGACGTGAATTTCGCAGACGGAGATGGTAGGACCGCGCTCTCCGTCGCTGCCTTGTGCGTACCGACTTTAGCTGGGGTGAAAGGGTACGGAGAAGTGACGAGTTTGCTTCTAGAAAGAGGAGCTAATCCAGGGCACAGAGATAAAGACGGGATGACGCCATTGTTGCTAGCAGCGTACGAAGGAAACGAAGATGTAGTAGAGCTTTTGCTGGAGGCCGGAGCGGACGTGGATGAAACCGCCGGTCCGGAAGGCGAATTACAATCCGCAGCAGCCGTTACGCCTCTCCTTGCTGCCGCGGCGATGGGGCATATGGGCACCGTGGCGAAGCTGCTGTTTTGGGGCGCGGATGTAGACGCCATTGACAGCGAAGGGAGGACCGCGTTGTGTTTGGCGGCCGCCCGAGGTAGCGTGGAAGTTGTGCGAGCGTTACTGGACCGAGGATTAGACGAGAACCATAAAGATGATTTAGGTTGGACTCCACTGCACGCTGCGGCTTGCGAAGGGCACAAAAGCGTTTGCGGGGTTTTGATGGAACAAGGGAGCATGGTGCGAGTCTGCGAAATGGACATCGAAGGACGAACCGCGTTGATTTTAGCCGCACAAGAGGGTCACGTTTCAACCGTGCGCCTACTTTTAGATAGACGCTGCCCCATCGACCACAGGGCGTACGACGGGCATTCGGCTTTGAGCGCCGCCCTGCTGGAGGAACAGACAGAAGTGGCGGAGTTGCTAATGCGCCGCGGGGCAGATACAGATGTCCGAGATGCGGAAGGGCGCCCCCTGCTGTATCTACTGGTGCTAGAGGGGCGATTAGAAATGGCCACGTTGCTGTTAGAGAAAGGGGGAGTGCCTCTCGAGTCCAAAGATGCAGAGGGCAGGACTGCGTTGCATGTTGCGTGTTGGCAGGGCTCTGTGGAGATGGTGAATTTGTTACTGAAATATTCTGCGAACCCAAACGCCCAAGATTCAGAAGGGAGGCCGCCTCTTCTCTCCGTAGCCTGGACTGGGCACACTCAAGTGGGACGAAAACTTTTAGAAACCCCCGGTATCGACATAGACCTGTGTTGTAACCAGGGAGCTACAGCCCTAAGCATAGCAGCACAAGAGGGACACGTCAACATCGTGGCTATGCTTTTGGACAAAGGAGCTAACCCAGAACATGTGGATAAATACAATCGTACTCCGGTGAAAGTAGCCGCCAAGCATGGGCACGCTAACATCATCAGATTATTACAAAGCTACGGCGCTAAACCTTACATTCAACCGCGATCTAGAACGGTTTCCCCCGTCAAGCCCTCAACCTCCTCGGCTACCCCGCAACGCGACGAGGCAGAGAATCGCGTGGAGTCGGCGAACGCGGACGGTGCTACTTCCTCGTCGTCTCTGTCCTCTCCCGCATCGACAGCCGAACGTTTTCATTCCATGCAAAGTTCACAAACCTCCTCGACTTGTCATTCCCTCGCTACAGTTCAAACCGTCCCAGCTGACAGCATAAGTTTTATCCAACAGATTCAACAGCATTCGCTACCAAGAGCGCGCAGTCGGCCTTCAACTTTGCCCCATGGTTCAACGCTGAGTAGTCTACACGGAAGCACCAAAAGGAGGATGAAAGACACTCCTCCTGCTACTTTATGCACGGTTAATGCTATTGTCCACCAAATGGATCAACCAAAACCAAAAAACATGGATTATCAAAAGATGCATCAAGAAAATATAAGGACTTCTTACACTGGAGGCAAATGGCATTCTGTTATGACTTCTTTAGGTATAACGCCAGGGCAGGACAGTCCTAATGCAAACCTGGACAACCCTCCTCCAGTAGGTTATCCATATAGAAATGCATGGGACAGCATGGCAGAGAAAGACATTAAAACATCATGTTATAGTTTCAGTCCCCATAGTGTCTTCACAGACGAGCTGACGATTTCGACTAAAGATCCACAGTTGAACCTAAAACGGGCCATAAAACTGCAGTTTGAAGGTCCCACCAGCGCAGCTCTGTACAAGAGGGAGACGCCGCTATGACCAAAGCACAGGTGAGCTAAGGGAAAGGAGGGGATAATATTTGAAATAGAGATGGTTTTGTTTTGCTAAAATGTGAGAATGCACCGACTAAATCAAATCTTGGTAATGTTGATATTGGTCTTAACAGTCCTGTATTACCCGTTTTCTGATCTATGTTATTATGTCGCTATGTCATTGACAAGCTGGTATGTGGCCATACCGGCTTGTCAAAGCCTGATCCTGTCAGATCTCAGAAGCTAAGCAAAGTCGGGCCTGGTTAGTACTTGGATGGGAGACCACTGGGAAAATTGGGTGCCACAGTGGGGTTGCACTGGACTATAAGTCGCACTTTTTGGGGGAAATTTATTTTATAAAATCAGAGACCGGGAACTGACATTTCATCTTGAAAGACAAGTTCTAGTAATAACAATAGAAGAGAGAACAACAGACTGTTAACGTCACATATGAACAGTTCTTCAGATAAACTATAACATAAACAACAGAACAGAACAAGTTTAACAAACTCTCCATCTCACTCCAAATCACTAAATCCATTCAATTCTTCATCCTCGGTGTCACTTCTGAGCAACTCCACAACCTCCAGAGGTAAACAGAGCGCCGCTTCCTCTTCTGTGTAGCTGTTGTCAGACTCAGCATCAGTTCCAGTTAGAATTACTCCGGGCTTTCTGAATCCCAACAGGATGGTTTCAGTGTCACTGAAGTCCAGGCTTTGTCCATCCATCCAGTGACTTCCAGGAAAGTTGCATGGTGCACCCTCACCGGTTGTCAAGTTTCTCGCTCAGTTTAAACTTTCTTTCTGCTGCTCGAATACGGTTTTCGGCTGCAGATTTCACGACTTACAGTTTGTAATCTGCAAAAAAATATGATTTTCTTTTGGGGGGCATTTGTGTTCAGTCTTCTTAATCCTCTTTATAAGTTTGTTTAAAATTAAAATTTTCAGTGGTGCAGAAGTAATGGTGTGATCGACCAGCATGCGCAGTAGAGCGCCAAGTGACAGTGGTACAGGAGTAATAGGAGTAGTAGATACTGGCACATAAGCCTAGAGCGCCCTCTCACGACTGTCAGTGTGAACATTTTAATAAGTAAGTCACACCAAAGAATAAGTTGCAGGACCATCCAAATTGTGGAAAAAAAAGTGTGACTTACAATCCGAAAAATACGGTAGTTTAAACCTAAAATGTTTCTCTGATCTGAAACTCCAGCATCGACAGCCAATCATAAGTCAGTCCTAGTGCAGCCTCTGCAGCTCAGGGAGGGAATTCAGGAGGTTCTGAGCTTTTCACATGTGCCATTTCTGTAAAGTGAGAATAAGGAGCTAAACGTGTGTGTTCTTGATATGCAAGTTAAGCAACACAAACACAAAAAATTCTAACAATTTCAACATTAAATTTTCTGTGTGTATCTCAGGTATTAAACTAATTTAGATCTTCACTGTACAAAAGTGTGACCCATACTTTTGAAAACCATTATAAGCAACTGCCAACTACAAAAATTCTACTTCACCCATCTCAAATGTCCTTATAGTATTTTCTTTATTTCCACAGGTGAAATAAAGACTTTCTACAAAAGAACTCTGACGTCAAGAAAACCACCAAACTACATGATGTCTTCATTAAATTATTATTTCAAAGCAGGAAATGTTAAGGATAATTTAATTTATTATGTTCTTGGCCTACATAGATCCATTATAAGCCATTTTCATTAGTTCAAACGAGATACATCGATTTATTATGATCTCCAATAAAACTGGCTTTTAAGTAATTTTCTCAATCATTTCACTTCGCAAAGGACTTTTGTTCACCCATATCTAAAATCTACATTAAGTTGTCCTATAATGTGAAATGGGCATCTTGTTGAAATGGATGAAACTGAAATTGGTGTTACTGTGTAAAAAGACAGATTTTCTCGGGCCAAATGACTTCTCTCTTACATGTATGTGTAGAACAGAGGGTTAAAGGTGCACTGCATAACTTTTTGGAATGGAGGACACTACCTGTTTGTCTCAGTGGAGATGCTATTGTCTTGGATTGTTTCACATATTCACACGATATTATAAACAGGTTAAACAAAAACAACTGGACTTGGCTTTTCATTTTCTTTTTGAAGCCCTCTGGTTGGTCGCAAAACTTTGGCTTAGACTGTGGCTTAAAAAAAAAAGCGAAGTAAATCAAGTTGTTTTCGTGTAATTTGCTTATAATTGCTTCGCATTGTTTCTATGAATTTCAATGGAGACAAGCAGAGAAAGGAAAAAAATAACCAAAGCACTAAATTCTGTTAATCTGAAATGAGAGAAATTTGAGAGAAAATGAGCTCCTTCATTTTACATGCGTCACTGAAAAAAAAACATGACTGATTTTGGATTTGTCAGGCAAAAATTGTGGAATATTCCAGGCAAAGCAATAATGTCTCTACTAGGCATGCACAGATCTCATAGTGGCATCCGATATCTGCACCGATATTGAACATTTTCACGGATCGGATATCTGTTCAGTTCATATCCCATTTTGGTTTGACAAGAGGCTTTACTGACTCAAAACATCTTATTATATTCAACTTGTAGTTCAAAGTTGTTCTGTAGTTACCATATTTTCCGCAGTATAGGGCCTCCAGCCCCATCAAAAAAATGGCTGCGCGCCCCGCAATCCAGAGCGCCTTATACATGAATCCACTCGGGTGTCCCAGCACGACTTCAGTAAACTACAGAGCCGCACCATCCATAGTGCACGTAAACACACACGGAGCAGACAGCGACCGCACAGCGAAACACACCCCCAGACACACTCATCACTCCACGCCAATGAGGAATGGAACGGAGGAACAAACCAAAAAAGCGAGTGCAATGTGCCACTTCTAGACACAACTGAACAACTGAGTCACTGCGAACACACCGACAATCCAGTGATCCCAGACAGCACCCTCCATACACGCCACAACTGAACACAGCCCAGAGTCACTGTGAACACGACAAACAAAGTCCGACTGAGCCATCAAACTGTTGTGTTTTGTTTAAAGTCCGGTGCGGTTTGTTTGTGAAAAAAGTTCCAAAATAAACCATTCTATGACAGTGCGCTTTATAATCCAGAGTGCCCAAAAGTGCGGAAAATACGGTATTTTATATGATAAATAACAGTTACAAAACACATTTGGATGATTTTTTACCATACGTGGTTTGTGTTTAAATCCTATATTTTCAGTCTCTGCCCTGGTATCAGTTGATATCAGGTATTGATTGATACTTAAAGCCTAAGTATCATCATTGGTATCAGAACAGAAAACCCTGGATCACTGCAGCCCTAATCTCTAGTGTTGATTTTCAGATTCTAGAACATGATAATGTCATACTCCCAGATGGGGGCAAGAGCCAGTTTTCCCTGTTATTAGGTTCGTTTTACAGACCAAGAGTTTGTTTTCATACCTGACAGTTTGGACTGCTCACTAGCGCTCTTCCTCAGAGTGGTGATGTTGCTGTGAGAGTAAAAAACTCTTTTTACTCTCACTCACGTGGGATACTGTCCTGAGGAAGTCGGGCTGTAGATGGCGCTGTCGTCCTGCCTCTACGGTGGGAGGACAGCACCAAAACTTGTATAAATCAGCTGACCGGACAGCAACATCACATGACCACTCTGAGGAAGAGCACTAGTGAACAGTCCAAACTGTCAGGTATGAAACAAACTCTGAAAAAAGAACCTAATAACATAAAATATCAGAAGACCAAATGAACCTCAGTGGACTAGCCAGTTTTCCTGTTGATGAACTTGTACTTTGCCACGAAATATGTAAAAGGTAAATGCACAAATTTCAAACTTGTGAATTTCTGATGGTGATTAAACCCATTAACATCAACAAACATTTGCCTACATCTGTATGAAACAGAATCAGACAATAGAACTTTATGTCACCTAAAACCCAGCAATAGAGAAATGGAGGTGGCACACTCTCTTTAATATATCCAAATTGTTTTGATAGGATTTTGTCATGTGTTGTTGTTTAACACCTTATTGTCATATCCATTAAACTGAACAAAATACTGAACTAAATGAGACTAATAATTGTTTTATTTATATATATATAAGTCAGTGTTACTCAGGATGCATTGATACTTGCACTAAGGATTCACCGATCCAGCTTTTTCAGTTCCAGTACTGATTTTGATACTATGGCTTGAAATGTCATCAAGACAAACTTTATAAAGCATTTATCATACAAAAATGTAACAGAAAGTGTTATTCACTAGCAAGGACCACGCCACAACAATGGTATCAATCAGGATGTTTATTGATGATATGGACAGATGTGGTGACTGGGTCGAAACTCTGGATGGGGGCTGTTTCAGGTGGTCAGCTCACCCAATACAGTCTTGTGACATCAGTTCATATGTCCAGCCAGGATATCGACTGACCCGATATTAGAAAGCCATTATTCGATCTGAACTGAGTTTTTCAGTATGGGCATGAATATCCTATACCAGTACTGAATTGTTGCAACTTGCACACACTAAATGTCTGAACAAGGACTAGACCAGGACTAAGCACACCCATATATTGTTTTTTATTCATTTAATGGTCAAATATTATGTTATGTCGCATTTCAGGGTTTAATATTTTTTGTAATAACATTTTCTTTCTTTTTACAGTATTTGTGATTTTAAGATACATATGTTCTAATAGTCGGTCATGTGCCTCAAGCAGTCCTATGTTCTTGATATTTAAGTTTGCCCTGTTGATTATATTGTATTTTTAAAGGCAACTTCATTGGTCAGTCGGTCACCACCTCCTCATCTTCCTGCATGTGTTGCTGTGTTGCTGGAATGTTCCACAGTGGCGGCAAACATGTCCGTATTACTTTTTTTTTAAATCGCAGGTCTTTGTTGCCAAATGTAGAACTTGAAAACATGCTGTCTTACTGTAAGCGGAGGCACCTGTCCACAGAGCTGACTTGTACCTTGGCCTGGTGGCGTCACGTGTCACCATGCAGACAGACAAGTTTAATGCCATACTGTGAAACATTCTAGACCAAGCAATCTCCATGGAGACAACCAGGTGATAGACCCTCCACCAAAAGAGTTGCATATTTTTGGCCTGTACAAAATGTTGGATGTCATTTGAAACCTCCCATTACTTTATAATACTTTTGTAACTTTAAACTCAATTTTCTAAAGCCTCGAGTGCCTTTGCTTTTCTAAGCCTGTAGCTCATGTTGTACAAAACTGTAATTTAAAGTTGTTTCTATTTTATCATTTGGTTCAATGTTCAATGTGTCTTTGGGTTTCAAATGAACTGAAATGTTGAGTTTTTGTTCATTAAAGCTGTAATACCATACTGAGGTCTGTTTTTCTAGGTATTTTTGAGCTATAAAACCACCTGTAACTGAACAAATGTAAAGAGGGACTGTTAAATGTCATACTACGGAACATTCCAGGCAGAGCAATGACATCTCCATAGAAACAAGAAGGTGACAACCAAAAAGTTACATAGAGCACCTTTAACTTAATCTGAAGCACCCAGTACCAGGGCCTCAAAGACGGAGTTGGCCAGGATTTTGCCATCTTTCTCGACACAGTGTTGAGGGTCACGCAGAAACTTCAGCACCTCCTGCCTGAGCTCGGGAAAAGCCTTTTTACTGAAATCCTCCACCACAGTTATAAAGTTGAGCAGCAGCTCTCCGTTCTCCTCTCCTTCTGTGAAACACTCGGTCACGTCTGTCCAGGACTGCAGCCTGTAGCTCTGATAGGGGACCCCGCTTTCATCCAGCAGGCTCTTGATGTCATCAGTGGACAGGTTAAAATGGCCTGACCACTGACTCAGCTGTCCGGTCACCATTCTGGCAAGCTGAGGTAAAACGCTGTCTTCTGAAATGTTAATAGGACGACTGGTCAGGGAGGGTCAGCAGATTACATTTAGACTTAGACAAACTTTATTGATCCACAAGGGAAATGATTTGGACAGAGTCACACATGGGTGGGATAATATCTGTTGTAACTGAAGCCACAGCATCAAACTTCCTCCATGCGCTGGGCTTCACACTGGGCCGACCTGTCACGCCCTCAGGACGCCGCTTGTCTCTGTATTATTTATGTATTTATGTCTTATTTAGGCTGTACTTATCACTAAACACACAAAATCAACACACATTGGAGATGCTGATGTATTAACATAAACATGGGCACTTTGGAACATCGCCATGGCAACCCAGTGAAATATACTATATGGCTGTTGGTGACTTTTTTGATCGGGATGACATGAAGTCACTCCATGATAGTAATATTTTTATCATCAACCTCGTCAGGGTCACCCACTGACCTCCCACTGACTTCCATTCATCTGAGTAGTTCTAAATATGGCCCATGTTACTGGGTTTCTGCTGTTAATTCAGGGGGGGACTGAGGGACGAGAAGTGCATGGGCACACATGCACTCACAATAGGCTTTGTGCTTTGTAGGGGCTCGGGCCTAATAAGAAAGAAAGAATAATATTCTGATATGAAAACAAGGTTCCACTTTTTTTTAGCTCTGGCACATTCCCACGTCATGGCGAGGGACCCTGGACTACGGACAAGTCACTTCACGTCATTTCACTTCCCAGCCTCTAGTAGCATCGCATTGCAGTACGAAAAGGCCCTTCCCCGTCTTATGGCGCTTGGGCCTGATAGTTTTACAAGAAGCAATTTGCAAAGAAAAGCAGGAAAATATGTTGAAAATTACAGGAAGTAGAGAGTTCTATTTCAGAGCGTTTCACATTGATGTCATCACACTGAGGAGAGAAGTCTATCCAAAAGTGTGGCACAATTTACTTGTAATAAAAAAAAAAAAAAGATAAATCGAATCCTTATTTTTGCCGCAGACAGACCAGAGATGTGGTGCAGTGGTGTAAACATCTCATTCACTTTTCATGCATTCTAATAGTTATGGGAGAGGCATGGTTCTTGGACCAGAGACGTGTTGGAGTTTGTGCAAATGAGACGTCGATGTTACTCAACAATAATGCACAGGCAGTTAGCGTTTGAATTTTCACTCACCATAACAGGCCAATGACGTAATGACATGAGTGAGCTAATAATATAACAATGCTGTGCTAATAACGTCATACTTTATTACATTATTGGCTGGTTACTGCATTATTAACTAGGTTCAGCCAATAATGTAATACTTGTTGCATTTTAACTCTTCTTGTTCTCTCACATGTTATTGAGTGCTACAGGTTTGAATCCCTCTAAGAACCCTGGGCCTGTGCAGGTGGTGGCCACTTACTCGGCTCTAGTGTGATCAGCAGTTTTCCGTTCTTCTCGAGGAGGCTCTGGTAGAAGCTGATGGTAGCTCCTACATTCGTCCACATAGTACAGGATCTGAGGATTCAGATACACGTTATGAATTGATACTTTGCAGGAATGTTCACCAGTTAACATGGAGACATAACACAAGAAAAATATATATCTACATTTTCAGGAGCCTGTGATCAATACAAGCTTTCATGGACCTGTTTAGGAGTTTGATTTTTACCAAAAGAGTGAGAGTGACTCAGTGAAATCTGTTCTAGCTAACTGACTGTAATGTTATTTGAGAGATTTGTTTAACAGCACAAAAACATTTCACTTTTTGTAGTTCTAAGTTTGTTCTTTTTGGTCAGATCGTGTTAAATTAAAGCTCAAATTAAAGTCTAAAAAGCCTCAGACAGAGCATGCTCACACTCATACTTATGGTCCTGGTTTAGACCTGGTTTAGACCTGGTTTAGACCTGGTTTAGACCTGGT